ACTGGAAAAAAAATCTTTTTTCAGTGTGGAGGGTAAAACCCAGGGCTCTACTGCATACAAAGCAGGAATTCTATCACTGAGCTATGTCCCTAGCTCTTGAACAGCATACTTCTGAATAAACTATGGGTCACAGAGGAAGTTCAAAATTTTCTCAAAACAAATGAAAATGGAAACTCAATACATCAAAATTTGTGGAATGCAGCAAAAGCAGTGCTTAGAGAGAAGTTTGTAGCAATGAGTGTCTACGTTAAAAATATGAAGAAAACAATGGGAAAAAAATGGAAAAAAATAGTTCATTCTTTAGAAAATAAAATTAACAAATGTTTAGATAAGAAAACTAGACAGAAGATTCAGAAATAAAATTAAAGATGAAAAAGACATTGTAAATGACACTACAGAAATACAAAGAATCTAGAGATTATTATGAAAAACTATGTGTTAAATTGAAAAACCCAGGAGAAATAGACATAGCGTCTATCAGTAAGAAGTAATGAGAGTAAGCAATTAACAATTCTACAACTAAGTAAAGCTCAGAAGCAGACTGCTCCACTGCTGATATTACCTGTCCTATTTATCTTTTTCCCTATTTATTTAGAGATGGGATCTTACTATGCTGCCTAGGCTAGCCTCAAATCCCCCACTTCAGCCTCTAGAATAGCTGGGATTACAGGCACGTGCCACTAAACACAGGTTACTAAACTTTTAAGAACTAATGCCAATTTTTCTTGAACTATTTCATCAAACTGAAACAGCAAGGAAACCCTTCCAAACTCACTTTATGATGCCAACATTACTTTGTTACCAAAACCAGACAAATACATAGTAAGAACAACAAAACTAAAGACCAGTACTCTGATGAAAACAGATGCAAAAAAACTCAACAAAATATTAGCAAATAAAATTAACAGCACAGCAAAAAGATGATTCTCAGGCTGGGGATTTAGCTCAGTGGTGCCTGCTGGCAAGTGCAAAGTTGTGAGTCTGATCCCCAGTACCAAAAAAAATTAGAAAGATGATTTTTCATGATACTGAACTTGTCTCAGGGATGCAAGGTAGGTCAATATATATATAAATTAATAAACGTAATACATAACATTGACAGAATGAATAAAAATCATAAGATCATCTCAATAGATGCAAAACAAAAGCATTTAATAAAATTCAACATCCTTCATAAAATGGAGCAAAGAGCACAGAATGATCATATCTCAACACAAAGACTATATATGACAAACACAAGGTCAGCATCTAAGATTAAGAAAAGGATGTCCAGGGCTGGGGATTTAGCTCAGCGGCATAAAGCACCTGCCTTGCAAGCAGGCGGTTGTGAGTCTGATCCCCAGTACCGGAAAAAAGGGGAAAAAAAAAAAAAAAAAAAGGATGTCCATCCTCACCATTCTTATTAAATACAGTAACAGAACCTGTAGCCAGAGGATCAGGGCACAGAAGTAAAAGACACATAAGTAGAAAGTGAGACAGTCAAACTATCCCTGTCTGCAATGATATGATTCTGTATTTGGATAACCTAGCATTTCCACCAAAAGATTAATACAACTAATAAATTCTGTAAAGTAGAAGAATATAAAATCATTGTATAAAAATCATCTATTTCTTGGGGCTGGGGATTTAGCTCAGTGGCATAAGCATCTGCCATGCAAGCGTGCAGTCGTGAGTTTGATCCCAGGTACAAAAAAAAAAAACCCCAAAATCCACTTCTCTATATACCAGTAATAAATTTACTTAAAAAAATTATGAAAGCAATCCAATTCACAAAAGCTACAACAAAAACAAATGAAAAAACAACCTATGAATAATGTGGTACATCTATTTTTAATCTTTTTTTTTTTGGTGGTACTGGGGATCGAACTCATGACCTCTAGGCACTTAGGCCACTGATCTAAATCCCCAGCTATTTTTTTTTTTTTCTTTTGTTTTTTTTGGTACCAGGGATTGAACTCACAATCTCACACTTGCCAGGCAGGCACTTATGCCACTGAGCTAAATCCCCAGCCCCTATTTTTAATCATAAAAAAGAACTTGCAGCAAAATGGATGGAACTGAAGGATATTATGTTAAGTAAAATAAACTCGGCACAGGAAGTGAAACCATGGAATCAAGGCCATGAAAGAGCACTACAATGAAAATTATGAAACACAAATGAAATAAACTGTGTAGGACACACCAAAAATTTAGACAAACTGTTTATGTTTAATGTCTGTATCTATATAGTGTGTGTGTCTGTGTGTGTCAGGAATTGAACTCAGAACCTTGTACTTGCCAGGCAGACGCATGCCACTGAGCCACATCCCCACCTAGAAGAACTAACACTGTTAAAATGTCCCTACTACCCAAAGTGATGTACAGATTCAATGCAGTTCCCATCAAAATACCAATGACATTCTTCACTAGAACTAGAAAATTTTGAAGTTCATATAAAAGTTACAAAAACCATAAATAGCCAGAGATCTGAACAAAAAGGAAAAGCTGAAGAAATCACAATACTTGACTTCAAGACATACTACATAGTCATAGTAACTAAAACAACATAGTATTGGCAGAAAACCAGACTGACCATGGAACAGAATAGAAATTCCAGTAATAAACTCATGCACCCACAACTCCCTAACTTTTTTTTTTTGGTACCGGGGATCGAACTCAGGACCTCACGCTTGCCAAGCAGGCGCTTATACCACTGAGCTAAATCCCCAGCTGCCTAACTCTTGATAAATGCACCGAAAACATACATCCAAGAAAAGACAGCCCTTCAATGAATGGGTGCTGGGGAAACTGGATTTTCATATGCAGACAAAACATGACCCCTATCTCTCACCCACTTCAAAAATGAACTAAAAAATAGATCAAAGACTGAAATATGAGACTTGAAAGTCTGAAACTACTAAATGTGGAGGAAACACTTCAAGACATTGATATATGCAGTGATTTTTCTGAATAAAACCCTAAAAGCATAGGGAAAAAAGCAAAAATTGACAAATAGGACTGTATCAAATTAAAAACGTTCCTCACAACAAGGAAAATAATCAACAGAATGAAGAGGCACCTATAGGATGGCAGAAAATATTTGTCAAGTATTCATCTGACAGGACTGTTAATACCTAGAATATATAAGGAACTCGAAAAACTCAACAAAACCCCCCAAGTAATCCAGACGGGGGCCGTAGCTAAATGGCAGAGCATATGCCTAATATCTTCAAGACTCTGGATTCAAACCTCAATCCCATCACCACCAAAACAATGATAGCAGAAACGAAAGACACATACATACAAATCCAATTTTTAAATGGAAAAGTGATCTGAACAGATGCTTCTTCAAAGAAGAAATACTAATGACCAGCATGCATATATATATTATATATAATATATATAAAATATATATATAAATGCTCACTCAATAACATTAGCTATCAGAGAAATGTAAAATCAAAACTGTGACAGAATACCATTAGGCCCCAGTTAGAATGGCTACTATGAAAAAAACCAAAACCACAAAAAAAGACCAACGCTGGCAAAGATACATATAGAAACAAACAAACACACACTAACTCATACATGTTTGTTGGTGGGAATGTAAATAAGTACAGCCACTATGGAGAACAGTTTGGAGGTTCCTCAAAAAACTAAAAATAGATGTATCAGATGATCCAGCTATTCCACTTCTGGATACATTAGCTAAAGGAAATGAAATCAGCACATCGAAGAGATAGCTACATGCCCATGTTTACAGTGGTACTGTATACCAGGGATGAGATATGGAATCAGCCCAAGTGCCCATCAATGGGTAAAGAAAGTATGATTTATATATACATACATATATATATATATATATATATAATTTAAAATTTTAATGGTAGAATGATATATATATTATATTATCATTTAAAAAAACAAGAGGAATAAAACCCTGCAATTTACAAGCAAAACGCTTGAAACTAGAGGATTCTATGTTAAGTGAAATAAGCCAGATATAGAAAGGTAGGCTCTATATGCTCTCTTTCATATGTGAAAGCTAAAGAAATGTTGACTGAAAGGAGGATAGTGATTACTACACATCACGAAGGATATAGGGCTTGGGCTGAAAAACAGTAATTGTATTTGATCAATACACATCACTATTACCCTACTAATATGAAAATTAAGACATACTAATGAAAAATAAATTTAAAAGATTCTATCACTAAAAATTTAAAAAGGTAAGAAATTAACAATGAATACCACAGTTATCACTTTAAACCCTTAAACTGGCAAATAACAAATGTACAAACCAAAATGAAAGGATCCATCAATGAAAACTCTAGTAATGAAAGTTAATCTAACATTTCATGAAACTAAACACACTGTGTGACCCACTGCCATATTTATAAATTTATGATACCTCTGCGTCAAAAGATAGGACACGAAATGTTCTTGGAGGCAAGGTTTGCATTACTAAGACTAGGAAAAAACCCGAATGTCTAACTACTAAAGAATGGATACTAGTCATGTGCTCTTACAGAATTCAATATAGCAGAGCAAATGAATTAACTATAGCTACAAACAATGTAAATAAAAATAGAACAAAAAAAGCAAATCCTAGATGAGTACTCACAACATCATTTTTAAAAAGCTGGAACTCCCTGCCAAAGGCTGGAGAACCAACAGAAGTATAATACATCATTTTGTAAAAAAGTAAACAAGAGTCTTCGTCATAGTTACAGGAGGCAAAGATAACTGAAGATTAAGGTAAGTGAGGAAAATCTAAATGGATTCCGGTTAGTGACAACAGTAGAGTTTTTGGGTTAATTAGGAGAAGGTGGAATCATGCGTATTCCTTAACATGCTTTGTAACTCTATACCTTAAGTAAATATATCTTTATGTATACATGCATATATATCTCCACTCTATGCTATATATGAACTACAGCATTTAAAAATAGAAAAAATATGACTAAAATATGCAGCCAATATTCACTGCAGTGAGTAGTAAGCCCCAGCCTGACACTTACTGGTCAAGGGTCTTATAATAGAGGTCCAGATCCTTGTTCGCAAGCTCTGTTGTTCTCATAACAATCATCATTTCTCTATGTTTCTCTTCAGCATCCCGAAATTGAGGTTCTCGGAGTTCTTTCTTAAAACGAATAATTTCTTCCTCATACCCTTTCTGTCGCCCCAATGCCAAATCGCGGTTTCTCTTTATATCATCTATGTTCATTTTTAACTTTTGATGTTCACTGTAAAGGGGGAAAATGACAAATGAGGATCGCTGTTTAGCTTTTATCAACCCAAGGTGGAAATGTCACAGCTCTCTTTAGACAGGAGTCATTCTCCCTAGCAATAATAAGGTGAGTCTTTCCTTGCTTTTAAGGCTTTGGTACTAAAGAAAATTCTCTCAATTTCTGCAGACTGTATGTTTTACAAATCATTTATATTAAGCATCCTCTTATGTCTTAGACATTGTTGAAGGAACGTTTAAAAAAAAAAACAGATCCATTGAATGAACGTACAAACCATTTTTTTAAACCATTTTTAAATACTAATTACAAAATACATTTTTAAAATCTGTGGTCTAGTCTTTAGTAACAAAAATAAATTATTTCATTTCACAGTTTTTTCTGAAAGCTTTGCTTCTCCAACTTCTTGGAGACAGGTCTAACACTGAAATTAACGACTAGAGACTTGGGAGCTAATGAGATGTTGGAGTCACAGTTCTTGCTTTCACCCTAACTGCCTCTGATTTTACTAGGTTTCATGTCCAAATGCATTAAAAAAAAAAAAAAAATGAAAAGGCTGCAGATGACATACTCTTCTACTTACCATATCTAATTTCCTATCTTTTCTTTTTTTTTTTTTTTTGGTCTTTTTCCTTTTTACCGGTACTGGGGATCGAACGACTGCCTGCTTGCAAGGCAGGCACTTATGCCGCTGAGCTAAATCCCCAGCCCCTAATTTTCCTTTCTATATGGAAGAAATTTTAAAAAGCTAAACCATTATTACAATAACACAGATTAATCATTTTTGTGGGTTTTACACATTAAATTAAAACTTTACTTTTACTGTATCTTTAAGAAAATCCTAGGTGTTCTCTGACCCAGATTTCTGCACAAATTTAAGAAGACTAAGAAAAAATTGAGAAGGAAGGGTTGAATGAATACGATCTGGACTGAACCAGCTGAAGTGGTTCAATATCTAAGTATCTGGCTAGTATAACTTTTAATTCTAGCTGAGAGACTTAGCATCAACCAACTTCTCACAGAATTCCTAAGGCAACTAAGAAAGACTAGAACAAAACTTTTTCTGCTGTACTAGGAAGGTAGGAACTACAGCACATACCAATAAAACCAGATGAAGGAATGGTAATCTTTACTTCCCCACAAAGAAAAAGAAAAAAAGCTGTGGTGAGTACAAAATCATAACCGGGACATCTAGAGTGCTTTCCACCAGCAAACTGCCCTGGCAATCACTCTACCAGCAACACTGGCCAGTGTGTGAGCTCTGATGCAGGACACCTTCATAGCTATGTGTGCTTTGTGATCAGCACTGCTATTCAGCAGACCTGGCATACTTAATACTGAGTAAAAGCTGGACAAGTGGGACAAGCCTGTAAACCCAGGACTCACGGGGCTGAGGCAGGAGCATCACTATAGTTCAAGGCTACCCTGAACTACATAGCAAGACCATGTCCCAAAAGACAAAAATTTGTAATATCAAATAATTCCTGCCCTACACTCAGGGTGATCAATTTAATGTCATTTCTTCACCAATTCCATTTTTAAAACCATGAAATATATTTGCGTATCTGTCCATCTTCCTGTAAGTCTCATGGGATACTACCCTGTGGCCTACTCATAAAGCAGGCATTTGATGTTTTCACATTACAATAAAGATATTCACTGAAAACAAGGACTTTTCTTAAAAACATACTTTTTCATCTGCAAAACCTGCATTTGACCCATTTCCTTCAGATGCTGTTTTCTTTCTTCTTCAACTTCTTTTAGTTCCTCATTTCTTTTTCTTAAAGTAAGGTTATCCTGTAGCCACCTTTCTTGTATCTAAATATAAATAATAAGTTAACAAAAATAACCAAGTTACTAACATGAGATCATAACAGGCAAGTGCTGGAAGGCAGTGCTGCTTGTGCCTGCCTGAGCTTCATGTTCAGTTGCACACGGGGAGGATTAAAGCAGTGTGAAGCAATCTCCAGGCTTAGACTACTCTGGATGTTTTTCTTGCAACCAGTCACAGGTGGGACATCTCCTAGAGAGCAGGTTTTATGCCATCGGTGAAAACCATACTTTCTATTTGATGGATAAGTGAGTGGGGGTCCCTGTGAAAATACCTCACACACATAATATTTACTTACTTACTATTTTATAAAATTTTACAGTATTTAGTTAAAAGCCCTACAACATATATTCATTATTAAACATTAGCACAAAACTGAAATTTAAAATGATAAAATAAAAAAATAATTTTGAAATGGTTGTAAATGGCCTTTGTGGCTAAAGAAAAATACTGTAATGCACCACTATAGGCAGCTGCTGTGCTTGTCCGGGCTCTTCTGTGGGGAACTATGCTTACACTTTAAAGAACATGCAGGCCAGGCGTGGTGGCACACTCTTATAACCTCAGCACTCGGGAAGCTAAGGCAAGGGAATCGTTACAAGTTCAAGACCATCCTGGGCTACAAAGTGAACTCAAGGCCAGCCTGAACTGCATAGCGAGACCCTGTCTCACAAAAACCACAAAAAAAAAAAAAAAAAAGAGAGAGAGAAAAGTAACATGCCAATATCTGCTTTGATCCGAATCAAATTATATTATATAAAACTTGAATTTGCTTTCACAAATACATGAAATGACTCTTTTTTTTTTTCTTTTTTCCGGTATTGGGGATCGAACTCACGACTGCCTGCTTACAAGGCAGGTGCTTATGCCACTGAGCTAAATCTCCAGCCCCATGAAAAGACTCTTTAAAGGGCTACCACATTTTAGGTAAGACCGATTTTTGACATAAATATTATTCCTGGTCTGTCAGCCTGCATGGTTATCAGAAAGATAAGCAATTCTTTCTTTTAGGACAACTATTATGCTTTAGTTTTGAGCACAGTAGTTAAAAAGCATAGGTTTCCAAGTCAGGTATATCTACGTTCAAATCTTAGTACTGTAACTTTTAACAGGGCAACATAAACAAATTAGCTTAGATTTTGTGAGCTTCAGTTGGTAACATGATAATACGAGCTATCATAAGGAACTACTGTAAGGATTAAAAAAGTTAATATATGTAGTTAACATGGCTCCATAATTGGCAAGAAAATCCCTTTAATTTTTCCTCTGAACTTGAGGCTCTGAGAATTCAAATTATAGCTTATAAAATATAGAGTATCATACAATGAGAAAGAAAAACCAGATACAGTATACCAGTACTATTTTCTACAACCCTAGCTATGTGACACTGTTGGGTCAAGTTCTACCTGTGTTACTACTTTTATGACTTTATGCAAGTCAGTCATCTCCAGTTCTCTTTACATATTCTTTTATCTCAAAAATGCTGGAGGGAGATTAGATTTCACATTTTTATTCTTTGGAACAAATTTTTTTTTTTTTTTAAATACCAGGGATTAAACTCATGACCATGTGCTTGCAAGGTAGGCGCTTATACTACTGAGCTAAATCCCTGGCCCTGAACCAAATTTAATAGGGCTAAAACAAGCATGTAAACAAGTGAGTGTTTGGTTCTCTAGCTCTTAAATATTAACCCCAGTCATCCTATTCATATGACACATTAACTCATGCATTGGTCACCCATGTTACAAATCTAAAGAGACAGAAACACAAAGACATATGAGAGATTTCTTAGGGCCAGTTGTGCATGCAGTTATGGTAGGTAAGGCACTGCAGATCCTGGCTCTGGCCACGTCTTCAAAATCAGAGAAGGCACTCATGTGATTTTCACTCTGGGGCTGAAGACCTGAGAATCCAGGGGGCCACTGGTCTAAGTCCTGGAGTCCTAAGGCCAAAGGACCTAGAGTTCTGATGTTCAAGGGCAAGAGGAAGACAGTATTTCTGTTTCTTTCTTTTGTTTAATCCAGCTCCCCAGTCAAATGGATGGAGTCCACCATCTGGGAGGATAATACCTTCACAGACATACTCAGAAGTAACACTTTACCAGGTTTCTAGGGGTTCCTTGGTTCAGCCAAGATGACACCTAAAGGTGACTACTCCAAGATGATCTCTTCAATTTCGCACCCAAACATATTTTTATCATCATTATCATCTTCTTCTTTTGGTACTAGGGATCAAACTCATTACCTTTGCACTTACTAGGCAAGTGCTTGAACCACTGAACTAAATTCCTGACCCCAAACATTCCTTCTTAGCCAGTCAATTCTCCAATAAACACAAAGTAACAGTTTTGCTTAACATGATGTAACTGTCCTGCTTACCACAGAAAACTCACTAATCCCTTCCCCAGATGAGAAGATAAAGTCCTTGGGTGATGTTTATTTTTCTTCTGATATGCACAGAACTTGTAAAGTTAACAATGAGGTCCTGTAACACTACATTACTTTTCAATCAGTGGCAGACTGCCTATAGGACATCGAACTGCCTATAGGACAGCAGACTGCCTATAGGACAGTGGTCCCCCAAGGTTCTATTGCCTCCTGATGATGCAGCCATCCCAGCGAGTGCAAGTCCAGGCTGATGCTCACATTGTACGAAACTGCCTTGCACTCATTTCTCACAACACAGTCCTACTGTTGAGCAGTGCTTGCCCATCTACATGCACCCAAATGTATTCTTAACAAAATAGGGACAAAACAGTCATGAAAATTAAAGTCCTCAGCACATGTTCTCGATCAGTATTCTTAACTACCTGTGCTGCACTACCCACTCCGTATGCCATCTGCATTCAGCAAGCACTCAGCCAGTCATAATTCTTTACCTGGTGTGTTGATTCAAAGCTTCAGTTTGGAAGGATCTGGGTCACTGTAATGCTGCCTGGATTGGACTGTTCTAATTTCCCATCTGATCTCCATCACACAGCATGGTAACACTAAGAGACACCCTAAAGGTTCTCTTGTTCTCTAGACTTACTCTTCTACTTTGCCTATTGTGGAATAGTCCAATTTTCCCTTTGTAGTCAGGCTCAATAACCGCAGCCAATACTGTCCTACAACTCCCATTTGTTGAGCAAGAGACATAAGGAGCTCACAGTAGCTGGGTACTCATCTTAACTTCCAGTTCAGTGAGAATCATTGCTTTGTCTCCTAGTGGCAGCATTTCTCTCTGCAAGTAAGGCTGGTAAGCCAGCACAGCATCAACTCATGGAAAGTGAAGCAAACATGTTGCTTGTGGGTTACTAGAGTTCAGTGGTAAGGGATGCACTTACATTTTCACCCCTTGATTCTGGAACCATGAATCTTGGCTGTTAATTCAGAGTGTATAAAGCCTTCTGAGGAACCCTGCCCCAGCCTTGCAAAACACTAGTTGGCAAGGTAAATATGATTTCAAAAAGTCATCTCTTTGTTCTGTTAAGGCAACTGCTTCTGGATAATGGTGAACATGTTAAATACAGCTTCTCAATATGACTTTATTTAAATAATTTCCTTTGTAGAGAAAAATAAGTGAAAAAAGAACCTCAAAATGACTTACAAATATTTCTCTTACAGGTACCTTTTAAGAGTATCTTAGAAAAATAGTATCTCATACCTCAATCCCTCTTCTGTGAATTTATTCTACATAAAGATATGTGAGAATAAGAAAACACTAACAAATGTAGAAGGATATTCACTGTCATGTAATCCATGAGGAAAAAAATAATCAACCTAAGTTTTACAAGAATAAAGTATCTGTGAGTTGAAATGTATTATCAGCACTGGGGATTTAGCTCAGTGGCATAAGTGCCTGCCTAGTAAGCACAAGGTTGTGAGTTCGATCCCTGGTACCAAAAAATAGAAAAAAAAAAATGTATGATCAAATTATGTTAAATCGAAAATGATGCAGAATATAAATGGTATGATCCTGTCTATAAATTTAAATATCATACATATAAATCTAAACTTTATGTTGACATATAAATAAAATCTTATTTGACAGTAAGAATACATTAAACACTTAAGGAGGCTGAGGCAGGAGGATAGCAAGTTGGAGTCTACCCTGTACATCTTAGGGGGGATTTTTTTTGGTTGTTTTATTTTTGAACTTTTTGAGACAGTCTCACTGTGTAGTTCAGATTGGTCTTAAACTCACCATATAAATCCAGAGTGGCCTCAAATTTGCAGTGATTCTCCTGTTTCACCCTCCTAAATACTGGGATTATAGGTGTGTGCCACCACATCCAGCTTACCCGACTCACCTGAGGGAGGCTATGCCTCAAAGTAAAACATAAAGAAAATGGGCTGGGGACGCAGCTCAGTGGGAAAGCACCCAGAGGTGAGATCTTCAGTACTGCAGATAAAACAAGACCAAACCACCAAAACAAAAAACAGCAACTGCAATAGAAATGACATCCAGCAGTGAGGCTGGCCATTAGAAGTAAAACAATTCTAGTAACATATTTATTCTTTCTTTTTCGCCACATGTGCTTTTTATTAAAAATAAGAATGGAGGAAAAAAAGAAAGAATAAATATGTTACTAGGATTGTTTTTCTCTGTTGACACTTCTACTCAATGGCTCTTCTGTTATACTAAAGCTCAATACATACTTTTGTACGTTACAGGTTTACATGATACCAAGAAACAAAAAGACCTACCTTCTGCGTATCAATGTCTTGTCTCATGACTCCCATTTCTTTACTTATCTTTTCTTTCTGTTTGTCACATTCACTTAGTTGAGCTGTTACTGTATTAAGTTCAGTTTCCTTTTGCTACAAAGAAAGATAATTCTTGATGCACTTGAAATAAAAAGGTAACTAAATAAATGTCTTTAAGTTTTAAATTACCTTCTTATACTCATCTTTTCCATCTTGAATATAATTCTCAATGTCTTTCATATAGCCATGAATATTTTTAACCTTCTCCTTGAGATCATTCAGCTGTGGAAAAATACTTACTGAACTTAATTGGTTGGGACCAAGATATTCAATAGAAGACAAAGAAACATTGACTTGAAAATTAGGATATTTTAGGGTCTAGTATATGCCATTACTAAATATGATCTCATGTAAACTCCTTTATCACCAATGGGAATGACTTAAATAGTGTGGTTCCTAACTTCTATTTTAAATCATAAGGTAAAATATTTGAAGCTTGATCCTTATTTAATCCAAGAATTTCTAATGTCAAAATTACTTTTTGAGGGCTGAAAATGCAGCTCAGCAGTAGGGTACTTGTCTACCATGTGCAAGGCTCTGAATCAACCTCCAGCACCACCAAAAAGAAAAACAAAAAAGAAGGGTATTATTAATCTGAAAAATATTATTTATCCTGAACTATTTAATTTCATGTCAAATAACAGTACTATAAGTTTAATATAGAGATTTGAAAAATAACAAATGAAATCTTACTTTATCCTGTGCTATTTTGTTGTTTGTATGCTTTTTGTTGGTTAATTCTTCTTTTTCCTGCTTTAACCTTTCCAGTGTTGTTTCCAAAGGTTTTATTTGCTCCTTAGCATCCTAAAAATTTAAGAACACATAACATCTTATGTAATATCCCATTGTCTGGCCTTGAACGTGCAGTGATCTTCCTGCCTCAGCCTCCTGAGAGCTGAGATTACAGGTGTGTACCACGCCCAGCTCCCATTATCTTATTTTAGATGACAAACTTCAGTCTTAATAACAAAAGCACTTTCCATGTGCTATGCTTAAAGTGAACTCTTTAGTTCCTTTCCTCTACCCTGAGAGGAAGGTTTCATTAATTTTCATTCCCGTATTTCAGAATAGCAAATAAGCACAGAGAATGACTTGTCTGGGGTCAAGACAAAAGTAAAGGAAGGGAAAAAAAAAAAAAAAAGTAAAGGAAGGGTCCAGATTTTAACCCTGGTGAGCTCCAGAGTTCACTCTATTAACTACTACGCAACGCTGCATCAGCCACTTGCTTAGTTCTTACTTGCTTGGCTCTACCTCTATTACCCCGTGGCATGAGACACGAGTTTAACAGGAGCAACTACATAAGTTGTGTGATCAAAGAACAGGAAAGTTCATCCAACCCAGGAGTCTCCTTCACATAAGACTCTGATGGGCTAAAAAAAAAAAAGGTGCTTCTGAACCGAAGTTTAGTCTGCTAAGCAGTTATTTCATGGTAATAAAAATACAGTGCTACTCTGATGTGGGTGTGACCCCTCTTATTTCTAAAGTCTCTATTGAGTCTATAAAGGGAGCATAATTTATAACTTCAACGCAGGTGAATCTCCTCATACTAGGATGTGGTGTGGTGGGATGGGAAGCCGAATGTCTTCAGTGTCAGAAATCTATCTGAAAAGCAACCCTGCCTCTTGTTAAGTATGTGAACTTGGGCAACTCACAAGGCATCTGTCAATTTCTTTTTCCATAAAAAAGATTTAGGGTCAGGGATTTAGCTCCAAAGTATAAGCATCTGCCTAGCAAGCGTGAGGTTGTGAGTTCAATGCCCAGTACCAAAATAAATAAATAAATAGGAGATTTCGTCATCTCTCTCAACAGGATTGTTGAGACACTAAATATTTCAATGCCCAAATGATTTATGAACAGTAAAAACTAATACAAATCCAAGATAATCTATTTTATACACTGATTGGAAATTTTCAGTAAAAAATTATTTCAAAATAGAATTTACAGGAATTAATGACAAACAGATTTAGTAATTTTATTCACTACTTAATAGAGGTATAATTGTGAAACTCTAGGTCAGGTTGCTGTTTCTAAAACTGTTCATGAACTTAATTGGTTAAGCCTTAGATATAATTAATCAATATAAACCTTGGCAAACACAGTGTAGTACACACTGTTCTGGTAAGACCTGTGAGACCATATTTGGAACTGCACAGACACAGTGCTGTGATGGAGAGTGTCTGCCATGGATGTAGCATTTGCAGACAATGCAAACTTCCCACAAGAGAAGGAATCTTATATAGTTACCCAACCACAAACTAACCATATCCTACATAAAGACCACTACTTAACCAGGTAGCTGGATATTCCTTACCATGTCCAAACTTCTCCTTTCAGGAATCTTTACTTATCAGTATGAATTCTGTCTCACAGGAGCCACATAAAGAACTGTATCATTTTCATTTGATTCTCACAATGGCCACCATTTTGCCCACTACACCAAATATTTGAACTAATTTAAAAAATAAGCATATACAAATGATCTTACGTTTATCTCTCTGTGTAGAGACTGAACTTCAGTGGATAATTCCACAGTTTGCTCCTCAAGCTGCTGACGACGTTGCAAATTAGTGGCTATCTGAAGTTTCTCTGATTTAAGTTCATTTGTTGTACTTTTTAGGTGTTGTATTTGTTCCTGCTGGTCCTGGATAAGCTTACGATTCAATTCAATCTTACTGGAAACTGCACAAAAACATTATTGACATAGTGATTATAGCAAATACTATTAATAACATCCTTCCAATTTTCATATATGGAATCTAAGAAGGCTGCGTTTCTTTTGAGTCTTACCAAATGCAACAAAAGTATAACAACTCTAGCCTTTAAACCTGCTCTTAATCCCCTCCTTGCCACTCACAGGTAAAACGCATGTGATACTCTTTTATCACCTCAAATTTGTTGTGTAATGCAAGAAAAAAAGGGGAAGTGACGCTTTTGAGAAAAGGGAAAGAACACAGTACAGCTGGAAGGTAGTTTTTTAATCTATGTAACAGGTATAAATTTACTGTAAAAAAAAACCAGTTACTGGCAATATGGAAGTCTTAAGGGTATAATGAAGACCAAATCACATTACCTGTATCTAATTTGTGTTGTTTTTCTTGTTTTTCTTGGTTTACTTGTTGAACAGTTCGATTCAAATCTACTCCTTGTAGCTTAGCTGCTTGTTGTGCAATTTTTCTTTCAACATCTTTAAGTTCCATCTTAACAACAGAATAGTTATTTCCTCTAAGAAACTTACTGCATTAAGATAACTCAAAAGTTTTAAGCAAAGTTAGAATAAAAGTAAAATTAATTTTTAGTAATTCAAATGAGGGTTAGGAGGGTTAGGATTAATGGGAACCAAAAGGAATTAAGATTTGCTATATACATGTACCAATTCCCCACAATGAATGTAATCATACATTGCAAACATGTACTAATAAAGTGTTTTGAAGTGAGACTAACAAAAGGAATTTGATTAAGAATGAAAAACAGAATCATGTAATTTCCATAACTAATGAATAAAAAATGTAATCCCAGTTGCTCCTTGAGGATACCGAACTCTAAACACAATCTATACATGAAAATTAGCTTAATACTGTCACATGTCACATTTGAGACATCACACAACAAGTTTTATTCTGCCCTAAGTCACAATAAACTTACCTGGAACCTCTCCATAATTGTAACATCTGTCAGGCACACTTTAGCGCTTTCTTCTTCAGGCATTATTGTACCCAAGAGCGTTTCCTGTTCTTCTATGTCATTTTTTAGGCGCTGTATATCTCTATTGACATTCTGGAGTTTGTTTCTTAATTCTGGTATTTCCTTCTCCTTCAAATCAATTATGTTTTTCCTTAATAGAAAACACACAAGTAAAAGCAATCTAGCTAATATTTTTCCATTATTCGGACTAAGGTTTTGTATTTTTGGCAAGAATACCACACAAGTGATATACCTCTCCTGGGCATCGTATCAGTGGCTATACAGTGTCACACTGTCTTACTACTGGCAATGTAAATCTTACTTTATGAAGACAGTGCCAGGTACTTTTCTCACTGTAAAATTGTATCTTCCTTTGTTGCTAGAAAATATCTTTATAAGAGCTATGTTGACAATGTATAAATATTCTGCTTCCCAAATTTCTGCTTATATTTGTATCCATTGGTAGAGCTTGCTTGTAATAATTATCACTATAGTGTTTACTAAACTGAGAGCTATTCTATAAATTAACTGATCATATTCATCAAAAATGTTAAGGTCAAAGAAGGAAAAAAATGAAAACGGCTTTTGAAAATAAGGAAGGGAAGAAGAAGGGAAAATAGAAGAATCAAGGTCTATTACATACAGGTACAAATTCCCTATGATGAATGTGATCATTACTAGCAATCAAAGTGTAGCAGTAAAATAAATTTTTTTAAAATATCAAGGTTCTAAAAGACAAAAACAGACTAAACTGTTGCACACTGCAGGAAAAACAACAATTAGAGGCAGCATTAAATTCTAGGTTGGATTAAAAATGGACAGTAATGGGGAAAAATGCAGTTCAAATATAATTCATAATTTAGTAGCATTATATCAGTGTTAATTTCCTGGTTATGATAACTGTATTATGGTTACATAAATTATTAGTATCAGGAAAAGCTGGATGATGGGTTTATGTAAATTCTCTGCTATTTTCAGAACTTCTCTGTAGGAATTATTTCAAAATTATAAATTTTAAAAATTACAGAAAGAAAGGAAGTCAAATGGTACATGGGTTTAAGGTACAAAAGTTATTCACCCTTTTTACTATCAATACTCTAATGAATTACTCTAAGGCAGATACTGAGTGGCTTTATGCCTGTTTTCATTGACACTATTAAAGCAGTAAAACTAGAATAAGTTTTTAAAAACATAAATTTATTTTCCTATAATTTAAAAAAATTTTTTAAAAATTGGTACTGGGGATCGAACTCACGACCACGCATTTGCAAGGCAGGTGCTTATGCCGCCGAGCTAAATCCCCAGCTCTCATAAATTTATTTTCAAAAAATTTCAAATTCTTATTTGAAATTATCAAAGTAAAAGTGGTATAATAAAGTAAATTAACCATTAATGGAAGTCTTAACAATAAACAAGAACCAGGAATACAGCTGAGTGGCATAAGCACCTGCCTGGCAAGCACAAGGGCCTGAGTTTGATTCCTTATTACCAAAAACAAACAAACGAACATAAACAAAAGGAAAAACCAGAATCTCAACAGTTGGCTTTTAGTCCATAATCACTTAATAATTTTTAAAAAGCGTATTTATGACTGAAAGACACCAACCTAAGCTGATCTGTGACAACAGACAAAATTTTTTATAGCATGAAATATGGTATTTTCCTATTTCATACACAAGGATGAATAAATACAAACCACTGTATAACTGATTTCACTGTATTACTTCTAGAATATTGTGATCAAATTGACATAGCTATGATACCCTAATGACAGCCAAGCACTCATGCAACTGGGAACGTCTTTGTGAACTACAAATACACATATAATTTTAATCCATTTACACACAAACACACCCTACCTTTCACCAATGTGGCAATGTGGTGCAGGTTTTGGTGCCTTCTTGTTTAACGCTATATCCAAAAAAGCTAAAATAGTTGTTCTAAGAAAAAATAAAGAAACTTTTCTCTTCTGGGCTTATTTTGGCTTTTTCTTTTCACTTTTTATGAGATCTTATTTTCGATTTTGAAAGTTTGTTTTTTCTCATGGTTTATGAACTTTTCTCATGATTTCAATGAAAAAATCATAATTGTGTATTTATGAAGGGATGTTTTCATATATGTACAGTGTGAAATGATTAAAACAAGTAAAACACTATATGCATTACTGCTTATCTATCTTTTTAATATTAAGACATTTGAAATTTATTCTTTGGGTTTTTTTATCTTCAGAAACTCAATTTACTTACTCTTAGTTAGCATTCCTTTTCCAAGGGAATCATATGTAAAAAAAGATATGATACTGAAACTAAATTTTGGGAGAAATGGGAAGAAGTGAATTTTCATTTAAATGTAATTCTATAATAAATAAACCCACGTCAGTACTAGACAGACTGATAATCAGCTATATTTTCAGTTGAGATTTCATTCATAATGGTAGGCTCAAATTAAGGTTGGTTTGGGGCTTTAACTGAAGTATTATTTTCCCCAAAGAGGATCTGGCCTCTTATGGCTTGTATCCAGTTGTTCCTACAAAGCCACACGTTGGTCATAGGTGGGTCTTTCTGGAGGTGGCTGGATGTAGGATGTGTGATGCTAGCATTAAGAGTACCCCACCTTGGGTATGGACAGCACCAATTAAAAGGCTTGTAACCTGGCTTTGGTAACAGGCAGAGGCTGGCTTGCTGCTGCTGCTGCCTTCCGCCTGCCCTGCTTTGCCACAGACTGTTAACACCATGTGATGGCCCTCTGCCAGGCCACTCTGCCTGGGCACCAACTGACTATGTACTGAAACCTCTACAAACCGTGAGCCAAAATAAATCTTTCCTCCTGCAACCAGGGTGTCAAGCATCTTGTCTCAGCAATGAGAAAAATAAGACATGGCCGTCCATCAACTCCCTAGGGTTTATCTTCTACCACTTTCCCTTAGGCCTTTGGGTCAGACATGGCTCAGCAACTCTACTGCTTGAAGCACTCTTCAGGGCAACCACATGGCTGGCTCCTCAGTTCTCTCAGGTCTCCACTCAAATGCCACCTTCAGCAGCAGCTCCCCCAGTCATTACCTTCCGGCTACTCCCTATCTCCTCACCCACTATGCGTTTCTCCTGATCATCACCTATATGCTCTTTCTATAGTTACTTATTAGCTGCCTTTTCCTTATTAACAAATAATAAAGACAGGGACAATTCTGCCTACTACAGTATTACCAGAGCACAGCAGAGTGTCTATTAAGTAAATACTTATTAAACAAATGCAGTTCTTGTGACAGTGCTGCCACCAAGGGTACCTTTTCCAGTGAAAAAGGAATGTATAACAATCCTCCAGCTTAGTGACTATCACAAATACACCTCTATAATGTCTCTGAAAGTGACTCTGGAGGTGTATGACAGTGGAATCCAATTACTATCAGAGCTAAAAGAAAACTAGATCATCTAAGTCACTACCTTCACTTTACAAAGGGGAAATTAAGGACCCGACCGGTCAAGTAACATCCATAAGGCTGCATAACAGAGCAGAATTAGAAAATTAGAAATGAGACTACTGTACACTTCTAAGCCACTGGTTTTCCACACTGGAGAAGGAAACAAGAAAAATAACTAACTCTTAGTTTATTACTGATCTTTGATTGTGGATTTAAACCTTAAAAAATAAAAATATGTGAATGTTGAAAGATTCTTGCCTTAGTATAAATTACTGTACGGTTACAGTGGTGATCTAACATGGCAGAGGCCAAAGCAGGAACGCCTACCACTTCCTGCTTCTTCCTCAACCTTAATTACAACTTCCCTTCCTGTTTGTGCGCTAAGAAACTCCAATCAGTTCCTCATGCATCATCAATACCCACCCTAAGTGCCACCCCCGGTCAGAGGTTATATATATATCCCATACCCCAATTCCGGTCAGAGGGACCCAGGCGGTCTTTGGTCCTGGGCTCCTCTCCATGTCCTTGGAAAAAAGGCTATTTTTTACTTTATATTCTCTCTCTTATTGCGCTGAAAACTCTTTCATAGTAGTACCGTACAACTCGGATGGCAGAGTGCTTTAGCTCTAAAAAATCCCTCCGGGTTGGAGCTCCCCGTCTAAGAAACACCTTTTCTTTCCTCCAGGACTGGGGACTGTTTACATGCCGCGCTAATCCATATGCAACAATGACCCTCCTTAATTTTCACAGGTAAGCTACCCTCAAGTCAAGGCTTTCTGTTTCCATTCCTAAAATTCACAAGCTTGCCCAGAAAACCTATCCTGCCGTCCCTGAAGGAGGATACCAGTTTTCAGTTTTCTTGCTCCTTAGCCATACAGCCTGAGGCAAAACTGTTGTTTTGTTCCCTGACACCCCGCCCAGCACTCTTCTGTGGGAAAGTCCCAACACCCCTTTGACACTTTCAAAACTTGTGAGGACCTCTTTTGATAAGTGTGACCCAGGACAGCTTGTTCCTTGGGGGAGCTAAAGCTCTTATGTCCCGAGGCCAAGTTGTTCTCTCCACTCTTGTAATTTGGTCATGGGGACTACTCCCTATCCCCCCGAAAAACACACCTCTGAGGTGCCTGGTTCATAACCTTGGTGCTCTTGCCTCAATGCTATAAAAACCAAAAAGCTGATCTTTTATTTATGCTTTTGTCACAATGGTGGCAAGCTGGCAGAAATCTCTCATTTTTAGGCCTTTTTCACTTTGAGGACGTGTCCTTCTCCCACTCTGTCTTATATAATGGCCTGAATACTTCTGGCTCGCTCTGCTCCACCAGGATCTCTCCCCTCCGGACCCTAAAGATTTCTGTACCCCCTGTGCCACCCCGCGGCCTCTAATCCTTCCCTTAGCATCTCTCCCCAGTCTCCAAATTCTCAATCCCTCCCACTCCAGACATCTGTTTCATTGGAAGATTCTTTGTCCCCTTCCCCTGCATTGCCTTCTCTGCTGGCTCACCATACACGGTCTCATGTGTTCCAGCCTTCCAGTAGGCCACATGGTTGTCAGCAGCCATCTTGCTGCAGCTCTCGTGGAGGACAAATGCCATCTTGCAACCCTCTGCCAAGTGACAGGACACTGCCATCTGTGATGGGTCTCAGGGTCAATGGCTGCCCCCTTGTAGCTCCTCCTGCAATCAGTAGCAGCCATCCTGCTGCGGGTCACACGGTGACCAGCTGCCATCTTGCGC